GAGAAACACAGCAAAACAGCCCACCAATAAGACATGATGTGTATCTCCAGATTTAATTAACATGATTGGGAAATAGTTTTCCACAAACCAGACTACACGTTAACGTGAAAGGGTGCCTGGAACACACAGCAGTTAGGAGTGCCTTGGTTCAAGCCTTGGCTCTATTTCCAGTTCCAGCTCTCTGCTGATGCACACCCTCAGAAGCAGAGGGTGATGGATCAGGTGCTTTGGTCTTTAACTCACATGGGAGACCAACGGGGCTCCTGGTTTTAGACTGCCCAGCCTGGTTATTGTATGTATTTGGAGAGGTTCTTGTTCTTTCTCTCTCCCTCTCTCTCAACCTTAAAAATAACTACAAATAAACATATCGTTTAAAAAAAGAAAAAAGTTATCAAGATGGAAGTAACCTTTAAATATAATCTATAATCATTCTGATGTCAAATTCACTGATGAAGCAATTTCCAATTATGATTTGTTTTCCCAAAAAAGATTATCTTAAGAAGAGTAAGACAAACAACACTGACATTCTTGAGAGTTAAATTTTTATCGTAAATGCTTTTATGACATTCTTCTTTGTTTTATTTTATTTTTTTGACAGGCAGAGTTAGACAGTGAGAGAGACAGAGAGAAAGGTCTTCCTTTCCCGTTGGTTCATCCCCCAAAATGGCCACTAAAGCCGGCGTGCTGCGGACAGCACGATGCACCAATCCGAAGCCAGGAGCCTCCTCCTAGTCTCCCATATGGGTGCAGGGCCCAAGTACCTGGGCCATCCTCCAGTGCACTCCTGGGCCACAGCAGAGAGCTGGACTGGAAGAGGAGCAACCGGGACAGAATTGGCGCCCCAGCCAGGACTAGAACCCGGTGTGCCGGCGCCGCAGGCGGAGGATTAGCCTCGTGAGCCGCGGCGCCAGCTTATGACATCCTTCTTTACCTTAACTTCTGAGTTACTAGTTTAAGTCAACATACCAGGTGTTAGGTATAGTGACAAAAACAAAGGTTACTATAATGCACTAGGTGAAAGATAAAGATCTAAATCAACATAGTAGCCATGAGGAAGAAGAAATATAAAAGTCATTACTAGAAAGTTTCACATTCATTAATTAGAAATAGGGGCCAGTGCTGCAGCGAAGTAAGCTTAGCTAACACCTGCAGCCCAGGCATCCCATATGGGGGCCAGTTTGTGTCCCGTCTGCTCCTCTTCCAATCCAGCTCTCTGCTTATGGCCTGGGAAAGCAGTAGAAGAAGGCCTAAGTCCTTGGGTCCCTGCACCCACATAGGAAACCTAAAAGAAACTCCTGGCTCCTGGCTTTGGATCAGCCCAGCTCTGGCCATTGTGGCCATTCAGAGAGTAAACCAGACGGCCAGCGCCGTGGCTCAATAGGCTAATCCTCCACCTAGCGGCGCCAGCACACCGGGTTCTAGTCCCAGTCGGGGTGCCGGATTCTTTCCCAGTTGCCCCTCTTTCAGGCCAGCTCTCTGCTGTGGCCAGGGAGTGCAGTGGAGGATGGCCCAAGTGCTTGGGCCCTGCACCCCACAGGAGACCAGCACAGTGCGCCGGACACAGCGGCCATTGGAGGGTGAACCAACGGCAAAGGAAGACCTTTCTCTCTGTCTCTCTCTCTCTGTCCACTCTGCCTGTAAAAAAATAAAAAATAAAAAAAAATAGAGAGTGAACCAGAGGATGGAAGACCTTTCTCTCTCTCTCCCTCCCTCTTCTGTAGCTCTACCTTTCAAATAAAATCTTATCTCTTTCTCTCTACATATACATATACATATATATATATGTATTTCCATATATATATGGAAATGGGAGTGGTTGTGACTGATTCAGTAAGAGGTAGGCAGAGCACAGGATGAAAGCCAATATAAAACAACATCCCATCTAACTCAAAGAGGTATTTCAGATAAAGAATACAAGAAAGAAGAGAGAATTACAAAAGGAAATAACTGTAGCTCATAAGTTTAATCCTCAAATATAAGAGTGATAAATAAGGATCCTTTTAATCACTGAAGCACTATTCTGAAGTATACTGAAAAGAAAATACTTTTGCAAACACATTCAAGTTACCACAAATATCTGAAAGAAATAATTGATATTTTTAAAATTTCTAGTAATTTAAACATGCATTAATACAAAATACCGAATGTTTCATTGCTAGCCTCTGTATATTCCCTCAAGCATAATTTTTCTACGTGTTCAACTTTTCCAGATTTTTAGTCCATCAATATCACTCTTTGGAAACTTAACACTTTATCTCTCTAGCGTCTTCCTTTACACCTGTTAAGACTTCCATATTTTAAAATAACCTGATAGAACCTCTTTTGTCTTCTCAAAAAACATTTATCAGCAGTGACCATCTCAGAGTTTCAGTCATTATCCATATATGGACTTGTTCCAATTTTATTTCATGCCCAATATATCTGCATGCTAAATTAAATTAACTGAACACAACTACCAGTTCTTCTTGAATAAAGTATCTCATCAGTCTGACATTCATCTTCACTAAGGCCCTTAGTAAATCTGTATTGACAATAACAACTTTATTTGGTTTCTCCATTTCAGCATCAGAACTTTTAAATTTTATATGCTAGTACTAGATGAACCTTCCTAATGAACAGATTTTATCATGGCTTTTTCCAACTCAAATATCAACTATTTTCACTTTCAACTCCTTGGCCTAACAGCCAAGTTTATTATTTTTCAGAATTCTCATATCAAATATCAATATCACTGCCACATTATACAGCTAATGTGTTTTCACTTTTGTGACACTGCTTGTGCTGTGTACTTGAGACTGGGAATTCAGTTCTAATTGATATCTCCAAATACCTAAATTCTATACAATCTTTAAGCACCAGGTCAAATGTTACATTTTCTGGACATCTCATTCCATCAGTTCAAAGTAGTTTTCCCAAACATTGAACTCCTATTATATTGTATAATATAATATAATGTAATATATTGTATAAGTTATAACTAACTCTTATAACTATTGTTAATATACATACTCCTATTCCTTTAGATTCTGTGGTCCCCCAATGGTATGATCCATTTGTAGCACACACTTATCTCTCCAAAACAACAAACAAGTATCTCACATATAGAAAAGCATTAACTATATGCTAAATATACTTGTCAAATGAAAAACAAAAACAAACTGGGAGAGCCATTTGTGAAACACCTACATCACATGTTGAAAAGCCTGTGATCAAGTCTCAGCTCTGCTCCTGATTCAAGCTTCACATTGATATGCACTCTGGGAGGTTTCAGGTGATAGCTGAATACTTAAGTACCCTTCCAATCCTACTGGATTGAGTTAACAGTTCCTGGCTGTTGTGGGCATCTGGGGAATAGACCAGTAGTTGGGTGACACTCTCTCTCTCCTTCCCTCCCTCCCTCTCTCTCGCTCACTCTTTTTCCCTCTCTCTCTCTCTCTCTCCCTCTGCCTTTCAAATAAAGAAATAAGTTTTTGAAAAAATAATGTAGCTGGATTTGTGACGCACCAGGTTAAGCCAGCCATATCAGAGGACAAGTTTGATTCCTGGCTGATCCGCACTCCTTTGCAGCTCAGTGATGATGGCCCAAACACTTGGGCCGGTCTCTTCTTTTCTTTGTGAAAGACATGATGGAGTTTCTGGCTCTTGCATCACCCTGCCCAAGACCTGATGATTGTGGGCATTTGTGGAGTGAACTAGCAGATCAAAATTATGCCTATCTGGGGCCAGCACTGTGGCATAGTGGGTAAAGCCACTGCCTGCAGTGCCAGCATCCCATATGGGCGCCGGTTCTAGTTCCAGCTGCTTCTGATCCAGCTCTCTGCTATGGCCAGGGAAATTGGTGGAGTATGGCAAGTCCTTGAGACCTACACCCACAAGGGAGACCCAGAAGAAGCTCCTGGCTCCTGGCTTTGGATCAGCACAGCTCCGGACATTGAGGCCAACTGGGAAATGAACCAGTGAATACAAGGCTTCTCTCTTTCTCTCTGTGTAACTTTTTTTTTTTAAGATTTATTTATTTATTTGCAAGTCAGAGATACACAGAGAGAGGAGAGGCAGAAAGAGAGAGGTCTTCCATCTGATTGTTCACTCCACAATTGGCCGCAACAGCCGGAGCTGCGCCAGGAGCCAGGAGCCTCCTCTGGGTCTCCCACGCAGGTACAGGGGCCCAAGGACTTGGGCCATCTTCCACTGCTTTCCCAGGCCACAGCAGAGAGCTGGATGGGAAGAGGAGCAGCCAGGACTAGAACCGACACCCATATGGGATGCCAGTGATTCAGGCCAGGGCGTTAACCCACTGAGCCACAGCACTGGCCCCTCTAACTTGCAAGTAAATAAATAAATATTTAAAAAAAGAAAGAAAAAAGAAAATGACTATATGTCTCTGTCTCTCAAGTAAATAAATATATCTTAGAAAAAGAAAGCCAATAGTCTTGAAAAGGAAAGTTTCATTGTAAGCACTCAGAGGCTACAAACTGACTCTTGTTAGCATGTGAAAACTCAAAGATTTTTTGCATGGAAAAGGGGTAAGAAATGCATACCTAATTAGGTAACAGTGTGAAATCCATCTCTATTTCAGAATGCACATACTTACTGCTAACTGATCCAGAAATATTTAAGTGACTCGTTAAAAAGGTAGAGGATATAAATCATAGAAAATGGCTCAGATTCTGTCTTCTCTCAGTGGGAAAAAAAAAAAAAAAGAGTCAAAGATGTAGAAAGTATTCTTATAAATCAAACACTTGAACACCTAGATGCTTATAGGAAAACAGGTCTAGGAATTCTAAAATCTATCAACTACATATGACAAATCCATACAAGCACAACAATAAGAACATCATAACAGAGCTCCTCCCACCAACCATGCAAGAATATGAATAATTCCTTTCAGGACATCATTTTTTTATCATTTTAAATCCTGAATACTGCTTAGCAGAAGGTTTATAAGCTACTTTAGTATTAACATTATTACCTTTATAACCATGCTTAAGTTTGGTACATACCTATGAATTTAAGTTCTTGCTTTGTTAGTGTAGAATTGTCATCTCTGTCTAAAGAAAAGACACACTTTAATTTCAGACTTTTAATCACCAGTTTTTAAAAACTACCATGATAGATCAGATGAGGAATTTAGAGGGGAAAAAAAATCAATAGGATTAAAGGAAAAAAAAAAAAAAACCCTTCTGTAAATTTACAAAGAGATTAATGGCATTTCCACAAAATTAATTGAATAAGTCAACTATTATACTAAATTTCCTAATGCCATATGAACTCTCAGATTAAGACTCTTGAAGTTTCAGTGAGACATTAATAAATTCATTTCACTTTAGAGTGGTTAACATGTACATCAAAAATTATGCAGCTGACTCACAAACTAAATGGTAATATATTACTGCGTTCATCACTTAGGAGTCTTTGAAGCCTATTTTCCAGGAACCAATAGTGACAAAATAGCTTGGATGTTTTGAAATGTAAAGTCTTATTTGTCTTATATGCAGAATAAATCTTTTGCTACTTATTATAAAGCCATACAGTATTAATCAAATTCTTCACTATACTGGCATAATCATAGTCATGCCCAATACTTCATATTGTTTCTTATGTATTGTTTCATCCTCAAACTCATCTTATTTTCTTACCATTTCTCTGATTTAAGAGAGCAATTATAAGGACTAGCTTACTTTCCTTCAGCTGCCTCTCTCCATGGTTTGAATTCAATCCTTTACAAGTGTACTTTGCAACCTTTTACTATGATGCTCAAGATCTACATTGATATTTCCCCCTATTTATCCTTCATCAAGATATTCAGCATTCATTTGTATTGGAATAAGTGTAGTTCTAACTTGGTATATTCTGAGATTTGACAACGTACTGTCACACACACACACGCTGAAATATGCCATATAAACATATAAAACATGCTATGCAGGCATATTTCTTTTTTTATTGATTTTTATCTATTGAAAAAGTAGAGCAGGCTGGCGCCGTGGCTCACTAGGCTAATCCTCTGCCTTGTGGCGCCGGCACACTGGGTTCTAGTCCCAGTCAGGGTGCCGGATTCTGTCCCAGTTGCCCCTCTTTCAGGCCAGCTCTCTGCTATGGCCTGGGAGTGCAGTGGAGGATGGCCCAAGTCCTTGGGCTCCGCATCCCATGGGAGACCAGGAGAAGTACCTGGCTCCTGCCATCGGATCAGCACGGTGCACTGGCCACAGCGGCCATTGGAGGGTGAACCAACGGCAAAGGAAGACCTTTCTCTCTGTCCCTCTCTCTCACTGTCCATTCTGCCTATCAAAAATAAATAAATAAATAAATAAATAAATAAATAGATAGATAGATAGATAGATAGATAGAAAGAAAGAAAAAGTAGAGCAACAGAGAAAGAGATCTTCCACTCACTATAAACTCACTAGAGTTCACTCTCCAAAAGCTCACAACAGCTGGGGTCATGTCAAGCCAAAGCCAGGAGATAGGAACTCTATCTGGGTCTCCCATGTGAGTGACAGGGACTCAGCACTTAAGCCATCATCTGCTGCCTCCTATGCATATTAGAATAAAGTTGGATTAGAAGCAGAGACAAAAATGGAACTCAATCCTAGGTACTTTGATATGGGATGCAGATGTTGCAACGCACTGTACCTCAACACTTGCCCCATAAGTATATTTCTTATCTTTCCTTCCAATAAGAAGGAAAAGTAAGCCTATTGTATTTAAAAAGAAATTAGATCTCGGGACCAGAATTGTGGCATAGCAGGTAGTCACCTGCTGTGATGTCTGCATCCCACATGGGCACCAGTCTGCCAGTTTGTGTCTCGGATGCTCCAGTTCTGATCCACCTGGCTCCTGGCTTTGGATCGGCCCAGCTCCAGCTGTTGTAGCCATCTGAGGAGTGAACCAGTGGATGGAAGATCTCTGTCTCTCTCTCTCTCTCTGGAACTCAAATAAATAAGTAAGTAATTAAAAAATAAATAAATTAGCTCTCAAATGACCTAGATCAGTGCTTCTCACAGTAACAACCTGTCCCATCAGTAATATTTCATCACACACGCACTTGAGGATTATTCATCTTTGTTCTTAGATTCCTATTTGGATTTCTTTGTAATGCAAAGGAGACATGGACACAGATGAAGAACAAAAACCAGTATCCTAAAAGCTAATTTGACAAATCCAAGTCAGAATCTGTTCCTCAGGCAAAATGTCCACTTGTAAAATCATTGATATTCATACTCAAACTTACCCTATAGTAGATACAGGAGAATAATCAGTTAACAATGCTTAATCTTTTCTGTCAAATGAGATTTGTTTAATAAGTCTACGCATGATAAACAATAAGTACCTTAATTAAAGGGAATTTAAATGTATAATAAATGGATACAAATATCAACTAGTGAAGTGGACATTTAGTCTGGTACTAATGACATAGGCTAAGGAGCAGACATTCAGCACAGTGATTTAGACACCACTTGAGGCATGTGCATCCCTTATGAGTGCCTATGTTCAAGACCTGGCTCCATTCACTTCTAGTTTCCTTCTAATGGACACCTTAGAAGGCAGCAGTACTTAGATCCCTGCCACTGACGTGGGATACCTAGACCGGGTTCTAGTTTCCTGGTTCTGTCCTGGTCTGGCTGTTGTAGGTATCTAGAGATTGAACAAGCAAAATCTTTCCTTCTCCCTTATAAAAATTATGCTTTAAAAATCAGCTTGAAAACAAAACAAAAAGACATATATTAAGTTGCCTGTCTCCTGTATTCAGACTTCCTGGCCGCCATACTCTCTTTCTTTGTGGGAAGCCATGGTGATGGCTCAAGCAATTCAGTTCCTACCACCCATGTGGGAGACCTGGATGGAGTTCCCCAGCATCTATCAGACTACACTGACTTTTAGCAGCATTTATGGAGTAAACCAGCAGATGGGAAACTGGTCATGCTCCCTGCCCTATCATTAAATGCCCTATCACAAAAAAATTAAACATTAAAACGTATTTCCTAAGCTTTTCCAAAAGTATTTTTTTAGAAAGATCAATCAGTGACCAACTGCAAACAAGCCTAAGCCTTCTTTATTATTTAAAAATAAAATTAAAAGTGAAAAACCCCAAGCTGAACAAATGAAACAACTTTACTGCTGCATCAAAGAACCAAGATACTACAATGAAAGAAACTGCTAATAAAAAAACTTACTTACCAAAGAAAAACAAATTACCAAGAATACATGAAACTTACTCAAGGATTGTTTAGCAACTAACAAATCATGCATTCAATTCTCATGGAGAGCTTATCAAATGATAAGCTAAATATTGGTAAAGATGAATAAAGCCTAACAGTTACCCTAACAAGGTCTAACAAGGAAGAAAAATGTATAAACAACGTAGAAAGCACTAGACCATTTCCCCCAATAATACTTTTCCCTTAAAAACAAAAGGGGAGGAAAGCACTACATCAAAACTATCACTGAGAAAGAAAGAGGAAAACCAGAATAATGATATGCTACTTTTGAAATGGCTATAAAACTGGCCAGCGCCGCGGCTCACTAGGCTAATCCTCCGCCTAGCAGCGCCGGCACACCGGGTTCTAGTCCCGGTCGGGGCGCTGGATTCTGTCCCGGTTGCCCCTCTTCCAGGCCAGCCCTCTGCTGTGGCCAGGGAGTGCAGTGGAGGATGGCCCAAGTGCTTGGGCCCTGCACCCCATGGGAGACCAGGAAAAGCACCTGGCTCCTGGCTCCTGCCATCGGACCAGCGCGGTGCGCCGGCCGCAGCGGCCATTGGAGGGTGAACCAACGGCAAAGGAAGACCTTTCTCTCTGTCTCTCTCTCTCACTGTCCACTCTGCCTGTCAAAAAAAAAAAAAAAAAAAGAAGCGGCTATAAAACTAATGCTTTCTATAAATATTACTTGCTTCGACATTATTAACAAGCAATTTAAATAGATCTCCTATGTGAAACAGAAAAGTTACATTTCTAGATTAAGATTATGAAATCTGAATTGTTAGTCTACTTGCCTTGTTCCAAGTCATGATCAAATATTATAAAATGCAAAGCACTTTGCTTCATGTGAATCTACCATGTCATTTATATGACTATATATTTATATATAAATAACTATATCTTGCCTTTCCCAACTGCCTTCCAAAGTTCCCAAAATTTACAGAGAATTTTATATTATATATTCCTCTTCACTATTCTGTTTACTTTTCCTTTTTTGGAAAAATAATTTAACATTATTTCTTCATTTTTTAAGTTTTTAAATTACTCTGATCATATAAAATTCATTTTATGTTGCTTAATTTTATTTTTGTAAATGATGAGGTAGTTTCCAAAAAGCAGTTTTCTGTATATTAGTGATACTCTTCATTCCTTACCTGAAAACACTAATTTGTAAAGTTTATGGCATACTCCATACAAATCCAAAAAGGTCTAAGATACTGAGAAACATCAAATCAAGATGCATGTTTAAGGTACGGTTGCAGGTAAATCTACCACCTGCAGCACTCACATCCCATATGGGTGTAGGTTCGAGTCCCAGCTGCTCCACTTCAGATCCAGATCCCTGCTAATGCACCTGGGAAAGCAGTGGAAGATGGTCCAAGTCTTTGGGCCTCTGCCACCCACATGCTGACCTGGATGAAACTTCTGGCTCCTGATCACCCCAGCTCTGACTGCTGTAGCCATTTGGGGAGTGAACCAGTGAAGGGAAGAGACTCTCTCTCCCTCTCTCCCTCTCTCCCAACCTCCTTCCCTCCCTCTCTTCCTCCCACACTGTAACTGTACCTTTCAAATAAATAAATCTTTTTTCAAAATATATACTTAAAACTCAATGCCCAGCATTATTAATATATATTTCATTGGTCTTTATTTTTTCAGAATTAAGTTTCAGCAAAATAGTAAAATTTCTATGTAAGATTTTCCTACATGCATCATACTACAGCAGGGGTGAGGAATGTTCAGCCTATAGGCCATGTAAAGCCTGCAAAATTACTGGGTCTGACCCTGCCAATGCAACTGTATTAGGACTCAAAATTCAATGTATCTATAGCAGGCTCATTTTTAATTTGATAATTTTGTATAGACCAGGAGTGATATTACACATATCCAAATGGCACTTGGCAGATAAAAGGTTCCTAATTAAAATTATCCAGAATCTCAATTGCCTAATGAAAGAGATTAACATTTCACAAATCTGAGATAAATATGAATAAGATATAGAACACAGAAATAAAAACAATTGTATGGAGGAATAACAAAGATAAGACTAGAGAAAAGTATGATAACATCATATATGGGAATGCAAAACTATTAAACAAGAGAGAGGGAGGGTGAGTTAATTCTACCAAAAGGAGTCAGAGGAGCCAGCATTGTGACACAGCAAGTTAGGCTTCCACCTTTGATGCTGGCAACCCATATCATAGCCTGTATTCCAGACCCAGCTGGTCTGCTTCAGATCCAGCTTCCTGTTAATGTGGGGAAGAAGGCAGAAGATGGGCCCTGCAACCCATTTTGGAGACAAGGATGGAATTCCAGGCTTTGGCCTGGCCCAGACCAGGCTGCTGCAGTCATTTGTGGAGTGAACCAGTGGATAGAGTATCTCTCTCTCTCTCTATCACTCTGCCTTCCAACCAGATAAATGAATCAAGAAGGAAGGAAGGAACTAAAACAACATTGATCAGGAATCTAATTTCCTCATTCTGCTCATTTTAATAAAACCACAGCTAATATGATACTTAAGAATGATGGCTTCATCTGTAAGAGAAAGAAGATAAGGATGTATGCTCTCATCAAGTCAAATTCTGCACTGTATTGGAACTGAAACAGCAGAAAAATGGGGAACTAATTGTTTTTAATGGCTATAGAATTTCAATTTTACAAGATGAAAAAATTATGTTTTGTATATTGTACCACAATTTTTTAAAAACCTAACACTCAGAAAAAAGGAAAATCACTCGAAGCCTAAGTATCATTCACTGGGTGTCAACCCTAGACTTGTCTTTGTAATTCAAAGTTTAAGTTGGAGGATAGGCTTTTATGGCAGCTGGTAAGTTGCCAGCTGGGACAAAAACATCCCATATCAGAAAGCCTGGTTCAAGACTTGGCTTTTATGCTTGCCATCCAGATTCCTGCTAATGTGCACGCTCAGAGACAGCAGATGACTGAAGTATTTGAATCCCTGCCACCCATATGGGAGATCTGCATGGGAGCTGCAGAATCCTTGCTTCAGCTTGGCCCAATTATGGCAGTTGTAGGCATCTCTGGAGTGAACCAGTTGATGGAAGATCGATCGATCTTTCTCTCCCTTTCAAATAAAATGGGAAAGAACAAAGAAACACACACACACTTCCAAACTCTTTAAATTAAATAAAATCTTAAAAAATTAAACAAGAAAAACCTAGATCCAAGGTCTAGATGCTTAGCCTCATGGTCAAGATGCCCATGTCCTGCATTAGAGTGCCTCTTGATTCCAGCTGTCCTGATTTTAGCATTCTGCCACTACAGATCCTAGAAGGCACAGCGATAGCTCAAGTGGCCCAGTTCCTGCCAGTCACATAAGAGACTTGACCTGAATTCTGGCTCCTGGTCCAGCTCTCTAGTATCACCCACTTCATCCTGGCCCAACTCTGGCAATATACTCCAAAAACAATGTAAACCAACTACAAATTCAACTATATCATCAAAATATGCAAGATTTCATACAGTTAATAGAAATATATTGAAAAACTACTTTAAATTATACAGTCTTCACCAAGATTAGTTTAATAGATGATGACAGATTCAAAGGAAAAATTTCAAATATCAAAGGATTAAACAAGGTTCTTGAGGAAACTGAAGAAACGCTAAGACTTTTTTTTTTTATTTTGCAAAATGGACTTCATTATAATTACACTGTGAAGGTAAAACATGATACTATTTGCTTTACACGCTAATTTCAGAATGCAACCCTGAAGAAGACACAACTCTACTGGGGCAAAAAAAACTCATCCCAAACAAGATACAATTTAAAAGGTTATCTCCTGTTTATTCACTATGTGGGGTAAAGTAATCAAAGTATTCTACATATTAATAAACCAAAATCCTAAAAAACAAAATTCACATAACAAATTGTGATTCTGCAGCAAATTCCTGATGAGGGTACCAATTACTAACTGCAATGGCAAGAAATAGTGCAACAGAGTTAGAAGAACTATTTCAGAACCAGAACAATACTTTTATCAATTTCCCTCACAAAAAGACATTAAAAGCCATACTGAAGATCTCTACTGACCTATCATCAACCTTGTAGGCAATCTACAAACAGTTTTCACTAAGTTCAACAACTGAAGTGCTGGATTTCATCTAGTCAATAGAACATGCTAACTATCCATTGGGATTCTCAACAAAAGGCAACCTTTGTAATAAATAAACCACCAGAGAAGATTCTAATAAAACTTACCATTGTGTATTGCATTCAGCAACTCTGAGAAAGCTTTCAAGTAAGGAAAAAAGGACTTCAGGTTAAGACCAGTCACAAACACACAAAAGAAACAGGCATAGACTGCATCACTATTAATGAAATTACAGTAAGTTAATCACGTATCTTGGCTTGAATTATTAAAAAGGCAAGTTTGGCTCAATTTTTAACATAGTATAAATTTCTAAATATTGTATTCCATTTACCAATATATTATTTAATGAGAAAATGTTAGCTATACTGTTGTAAGTGATGACAATAATTTCTTCAGTGATAAACATTTTTAAATCACCTTTAAAAAGACATTTAACAATCTAACCATGATAATGTGTTGGTAAAGTGAGTTTCTATAGTATGCAATTCTATAAAGGTGTATCTACTGTATTAGGGCACATTCAACAATATTCATTATAAAGAAAAACTTCATTATACCATCTAATCCTATCAAACATTCTCATTTCCCAGAAGTCAGTATAATCAAGTCTCAATATATTCAGAGTTTTAAGAAAGCTACCTTACCTAACATGCCAATACACAAATACTGAAAAACTATATTAACATTAAAACTAATGGAAACCAAAATACTGAAAATATTATTTCATCAAAGAGCAGAAGTCATAATACTGCAATGGAAGCAAAATATTAAGCAGCCAACAATCAAAATTCAACTTCATACAATTCAACTGTAAAACAGATCTAGAATATAACACAAAGCAGTGTATTAAGATATCTCTGTAGGAGCATGAAGTTTCTTCAATTAAGAACTAATTGCATTTTGGAAAATTAATGTAGAGGATCAAAGGTGACCTAAGGTACCACAGTAAGAGTCAAAAAGCCTGGGTTACCAACCCAGTTCGACAACTTACTAGTTGTTGGACAAGCTCCATCATGCCGATACTGCATGGAAATTTCTGTTGGGAGGGAGGAGAAAGGAAATCAGCAAAAGTTGCCAGTGATTTAAAGGTTAGAAAAAGAAATAGGCCAGAAAAATAGGGAGAAATTCACCCTGAAAGTCTGGCTGAGTAGGCCAAACAAAATTGCAAGAGGAAAAAAGTATAAGCTAATAGTCGGATATGAGAGGTAGGAAAACAAAATGTACTGGAATTCTCACAACAGTGTAGTGCGGAAATGTATGACTGTGGGCAAAATGCTACAGAAAAACCATTCTACACCAGTGTCTAAAAATAAATGGAATCATTCGAGGGAGTCCAGCTACCATTGTGAACATGCGAATGTGTTTTAGATAAATTCATCAGATGGGAACTGTTTATTTAAAACATCTGAACATGTAGTCAAAATAGAATTTATAACAGTTATATTAATTATTTCATTTGCATATGGGCAGAAATCCATGACTTATATTAACAGTGTAAAACTCATGAAACTTATCTCAGTTCACATTCTTATAACTTTCATTTTAAAAGATGATAATAAAAAAAGATTCTTCCTTTTTTATCCCACCCCAAAGGGGAAGCAGTAGAGGATGACTTGAGAAAACGAAACACTGTTAAAGGCAAAAGCCCTCAGAATATGGGGAATACATTTCTATATGGCATTCCAAGGGAAAAATAATTGATAATGCTATAATTCAAAGGACCTGGTTTCTTAGCCCTGGAAACAACTATATTACCTTTGTCAATGACAATGTTGGTAAAAAAAAAAAAAAAAAATCTTTAAGAGGGATAGTTGGAAATTCTCTAGATATTATGTAAGCAAAAATATGTCCCCAGGCACCATATGTATAGCAGAATCTCCCAGGATACCACCACCTACACATCTGACCACATATTTCCTCAAAAGTAAAGTTTAACCATAAGCCTAACAGGAATAACTTAAACTAAGAAAAAGACAAAAGCAAGATAAAGTGAGCCAGCACTAACTTGCAATCAATGCAATGTTAAAAGAACTTTACATTAGATAGTGTTAAAAATATAAAACTTTTGCCCAGTTTAGAGAAGTCATCTAGAAATGATGTAGACTTTGGTGTTAAATCCTTTTAAGATAACATATAAAAATGAGACATGGTAGGGAATACTCTACATTAAAGTCTCATTTAAAAAGGGAGGTAGGGCTACTGAAGAGAATTACATGGTACAATATAAAGAAATGATAGCTGTTTGGAATGGTGCTGAAATATAATCAAAAGGCATTCGAAACAGAAGGATTTAATCAATGGGGAAAAAACTGGAATATGGCTACTTTGGCCTATGATCTGGCACTTCTATACAAAGACAGTCACGTTAATAAGCATAAGAATTGAGGGCTAGTGCTGTGGAGCAGTAGAATAAGCCTCTGGCTGCAGTCCCAACATCTCATATGGGCCTCCAGCTTACATCCCAGCTCCTCCACTTCTAATCCAACTCTGCTGATGGCCTGGGAAAGCAGTGAAAGATGACCCAAGTGTTTAGGCCCCTGCACCCACATGGGAGACCTAGAAGAGGCTGCTGGCTCCTGGCTTCAGGCTGGCCCAGCTCCAGAGTTCTGGCCATTTAGGGAGTGAACCAGTGGAAGAAAGACCTTTCTATCTCTCCCTTTCTCTTGTCTATAACTCTACCTCTCAATAAATAAAAATTTTTTGGCCGGCACCGCGGCTCACTTGGCTAATCCTCCGCTTCCGGCGACAGCAACCCGGGTTCTAGTCCAGTTGGGGCACCAGATTCTATCCCGGTTGCTCCTCTTCCAGTCCAGCTCTCTGCTGTGGCCCGGGAAGGCAGTGGAGGATGGCCCAAGTGCTTGGGCGTCCACCTGCATAGAAGACCAGGAGGAAGCACCTGGATCCTGGCTTCAGATCAGCGCAGTGCGCCAGCCATAGCGGCCATTTGGGATTTGGGAGGTGAACCAACGGAAGGAAGACCTTTCTCTCTGTCTCTCACTAACTCTGTCAAAAAAAAAAAAAAAAAAAAAAAAAAAAAAAAAACCTTTTTAAAAGTAAATAAATAAGCATATTGATAATTCAAATCCTTAAAGACCAAACAAAATCAGGTGATTTTCCAAGAAAACAAGTTCCAAAGTATATCCTGATCTCAGTTGTATGTATTGTTCTATACATTCTTCATTTATGACCCAGTATCATCAAGATATCTAAAACCATGAGCCTGAGTCAAGACAGGTTTGAATTATACTCACTAAATCATCTCTTTATTCTACAACACCTTATTATTTACTCTACTCATGAGAGTCTATGCAGCAAATATTTGTATCTTCATAAAGTCTTTAGTTGTTTACAGATCACTGTCACTAATAAAAATATTTTACCAGTAAAAGACTTCTCAATTTCGTCTTATATAAACAAAGATATATTTTTATGAGATATGTTTCATATGAATTGATAGTTATGAAGGCTTAGCGGGTAGAGCCATCACCTGCAGTACAGGCTGCCCCACTTCCAATCCAGCGCTCTGCTATGGCCTGGGAAAGCAGTGGAGATGGCCCAAGTCCTTAGGCCCAGCACCAATGTGGGAAAACCAGAGAAGCTCCTGGCTTCTGGCTTTGGATCAGCCTGGCTGGCTCCAGCAGTTGCGGCCATTTAGGGAGTGAATCTTTGCTCTCTCTGCCTCTGCCTCTCTTTCTATAAACTCTGCCTTTCAAATAAATAAATAAATAAATCCTTTAAAAAGTATGTATCTGCTTATTTATTTTGATGGAATTTATTTGGATGAAATTCTCTCTGCCTCTCTGACTCTGCCTTTCAAATAAATAAATATTTTAAAAAATTTTCATAACCTTCATATTTGAGAAGAAGAAAAATCAATTGAAGTGATCCATTCACATTAACAACCAATTTGTTCCTAAGAAATCAATCACAAGAAAAAGAGCTTCCCAAATCTCATTTTGAAGCATTTACCAAGTATCTTGTCTTATGATGGTATGACAGAGACTACATTAGGGGTTTGGCACAATATACTTTCAAAGGGCCTATATTCTCAGAGAAAATAACATGATGATTTTTGTGAAAAAAAATTATACATTTTCACTTAATACATCATAAATTCTTATAGGACAAGAATAGCACATCAACACTTCTAAATACTGAAGTACCAACTTAGATGTTTCAAAAGACTAGATAACTAATTGTACAGATCCCTCCAAAAAATCCCTAAGAAAGGAAATCTAACCAAAAGCTTAACATATCTATAAGCCAAAAACTTAACTTAAAACTCTCAGCAGTCCTTTAAATGTAAGACAGTCAATGTAAAAAAGAAGTCAAAAGAAAAATATTATAACTCAAACTGTCAAGGAATTTACATGTGCTTTCTGGGTTTCTATTCAGATTTTATCTAGGACTGCTAGAATAAATATTCACACTTACTACAAGTTGAGTAGGTCATGAGAGAATTTTAATTATTGCTAAAACTCATGTTTTTGACAAATAACTTCAATAAAGAATCACATCATTAAGACATGATTCTGCTTTATATACTAGGTGAGGTGAAACAAAAGAAAAATAATTAACAATGTAACAATAATAGCGGTTGCTGCTATCCTATCTAATTCAAAAGTTGTTCCAGAACCAAATGAGATAGTAATTATTACTTTAGGAACTGTTAAGTGATTGCAAATATAAGATATTACTCTTATTATAAGCTGAATGTGGCAATATTTTCCTACCACATCAATGAAATTATTTAATAATGCTAACTGCCATAATTAAGTCCAGAGTGCTTATCCTAATAGACTATTAGCCTCTTTGTTTGATTTCTTTGGCCTTGAATTCAATTCTCTATCCTATCCTGTTTCATCATCAGTATCTCCAACTACAGCACAAACACAGCTTCTTGTTTCTCCTAAGCTTTTTCACCAAATATATCTTTTCCAATTTAATACTTCTCATCCTAAACTAGCCTGAAATACTACATGAGAAGCTTTACAAATAAAGAAAAATAATTCAGCTTGCAGCCCATTTATAAACACTTAAAAGGCAAGAACAAAATTACACAAGATACTATTAATCACAGTGATTACTTATAGCAGACATTCATTTCTAAAGAGACTTTAGCATTTGTTAAATTCAAAGTATTTCTGCACTAGCAATGCGAATATAGTGGTAAACATAAACAAAGCCCCAATCTCTTATAAATCAGTGGATGTGATAGTCTAACATCATGGTCAACAAGTGCTTACAAAGGTCACACTCACCGTTATTAAATTATTAACCTGTCATTATAGCAAATCAATCCTTAAAAAAATCATAATTAATGATTCTTGATGATACATAGCATACATTTTCTCCTTTCTATTTTTTAATGGGGGGGGTGAATTTGTAGTTTCACAATAACTACATGATTTTCCACTTTAAAATTAGTCCAAAGTAGAAATTCATTTTCTCATACCAGAAGGAATACTATTGTTGATTAAACTATTGGTTCAGGTTTGCCTATGGATCCCCTCACTTAGTATGCTGACATAATACCAGTGTGGTATTAGATCCTCATCAGGAAATATCTGTTGCTTTTTTTTTTTAAGCCTAAATGGTTTTGGAGTCAAGGAAAATGCATATCTCTACCACTTAAAGCTACAATATCTCCCTGTCTGGTTTTGGTTCTATATAATGAACAATAATGTTTAATGCTTCTTAAGTGCTAAACATAAACGTGTAGTACATGCTAAGTATTCATCAGCAGTTAGCAATTCTTATGGCAAATAATAATAATACTTCAATATGCATGGCATTTAGTCAAGCTTCTTCTGTATAAGGATAGACATTTTAACCACCAAGAAAGAAAATGCTTTGATCTAGTCATATGTTTTTATTAAAATGTACAAAATTCAAGAACATATAATCTCAACTAGCTTTAATGAGTAATCTTATTCCATAATCAAAACATTAACAAAATATATAATCTTAAAAGTGATTTTTAAACACAACACTGACGAGAAATTATTAGCAGGTTAAAATTGTTAATTTCCTCATCTTTGAAATATTTAGGGGAATTCCCCCTAAATGACTATGTTTTGCTAATGGTATGGCAAGAAAGATACATCAATAGTTTTCCAACACAGATGTGCCACAATCACTGCCCTCTGAAAGTAATTGTTCTGCAACGAACACTATTTCACATTCCTAAAATCTTCCTAGATCTGTCAAAGGTAGGAAAATCTTTTGAGAGACATAAATCAGTATTTTAATTCTCCTATTATGAAGATGTATGTTTCAAATGAAACTTCTGAAATTCAGGAATTTTCACACTACACTTCAAAACACTAGGAAATCACTGAAAATCTCTCTCCACAAAAGAAAATTTAGTTTTAATTTTCTCAGTAAGGTACTTACATGATTACTGTACCTATTGCTAAAAATGAATATGAAAATATTTTTTGCATACATTTATCAAAATTGACCTTTTTTAATGAGGACTAAGCCTAACTGCTAGGCTCTTCTGGTCTCAAAACATATTACATAAATTAAAATATATATTCAAATGTGTAATATATTTAAATCTCTTCAGTGAACTCCTTTGTCACTGTGATTTATATCAAACTCCCCATTTTAAAGACGGTCTCAAGAGGTGAGAATTTGTCATAGCGGTTAAGAAGCCCACTAGAACCACTATCTCCTGCAATGAATACCTCTATTCCAGTCCTGGTTCCACTTCTTGGTAATATACATCCTGGAGACAGCAAGGTGATAACTCAAATGTTTGAGTCCTTACCACCCACAAGGGAGACCTGAGGTGGAGTTCTTGACTCCTAGATTCAGTCTGGTACAACCCTGGCTGTTGCAGACATTTAAGTAGTGGATCAGCAGATACATCTAGCTGTCCCTCTCTCCCTGCCTTTCAGTTAAAATTCAGTGTCCAGAATAATTTTTAAAAAGACAACGATGAGGCCAGGTTTGTGAGGTAGGAGATAAAACTAATGCCTGTGATGCCAGCATCCCATTTGGGGAGCAGCTCGTGTCCCAGCTACTCCACTTTTGATCCAGCTCCTGCTAATGGCAGCAGAAGATGGCATATTTCAGCCTCTACACCCATTTGGGTTCAGCCTGGCCCAGCACTGGTCATTGTGGGCATCTGGGGAGTGAACCAGCAGATGGAATATCACTCTTTCCTTCTCTCTGTAACTCTTTCAAATAAATAAATTAATTTTTAAAGAAAGTGATGCACAAACAGAGGCAGTTCTAGGCGACAGAGACACTGCTGATTCTCACAGGATGATGAAAGGGAGTTATTGGTACTTCGTGGGAAGGGGCTAGGTTCTGGTAACCTCCTGCACTCAGGGCAACACTGTACATAGAGTTATCTCATCCAAGATGCAAATGATGCCAGGACTGGCTCTGGAATCACCAGTGAAGAAGCCATACTAATAAAACAAATTTTCTACAGATTCCACTTATTTCTTTAAAAGATGTGGTAAACATGTATACTGTGGACACTGAAACTGCCTATTAGAAACAGAAACCCCTGGCTTTGTATTACTGGCTAACTTACTTTACCTCTCAAGGCCTCGGTTTTATGGGCTGTAAAATAGGTGCATTAATAACCTTCACTTTATACAAGGGTTTTTTTAAAGTTCATGGAAACGTACTATGAATTTCAAACTTTTTGCACCAAAACAAACACATTTATATTTTTCTTTTTTTTTTTTTTAATTTGACAGGTAGTGTTAGAGAGAGAGAGACAGAGAGAGAGACAGAGAGAAAGTCTTCCGTTAGTTCACCCCCAAAATGGCTGCTATGGTCGGCGCTGCGCCGATCCGAAGCCAGGAGCTAGGTGCTTCCTCCTGGTCTCCCATGTGGGTGCAAGGACCCAAACACTTGGGCCATCCTCCACTGCCTTCCCGGGCCACAGCAGAGAGCTGGACTAGAAGCAGAGCAACCAGAACTAGAACCCGGTGCCCATATGGGATGCCGGCACCGCAGGCAGAGTTAGATTAACCAAGTGACCCACGGCGCCGGCCCCCCACATTTATATTTTTCACAAACTTTTTCAAGTATGCTAATGTAATTATTGTTATAAGAGATAAGTATAAACCATTAAACTAGGGGCTGGCACTGTAGCACAGTAGGTTACTCCTCTGCCTGCAGCACTGGCATCCCATATGGTCACAAGTTCTAATCTTAGCTGCTTTTCTGCTGATCCAACTCCCTGCTATGGCCTGGGAAAGCAGCAGAAGATGGCCCAAGTCCTTGGGCCCCTGCACCTGCATGGGAGACCTGGAAGAAGCTCCTGGCTCCTGGCTTTGGTAGGCACAGCTCCGGCTGATGTGCCCATATGGGGTGTGAACCAGAGGACAGAAGAAGATCTCTCTCTCTCTGCCTCTCTTTCTCACTGTGTTTAACTGTGACTTTCAAGTAAAATAAATAAATCTTAAAAAAAATAAAAATAAATAAAATTCTAAAACCTGAAAATATTCACAATCTAAACTGCAGGTTTACACAGCATACCAATGGTGTGAATAAATAGTTGTGTGTGTGGGTGTGTGTGTATGCATGTGTAGGTAAACTCACATATAATAAAAATAATGGTAAATTCATTGAACACACCTGAAAAAAAAAATCAGACCATTTCAAGAAGGTCCTGAAATTAAATGTGACTGCCAAATTCCATTAATAAATCATTTACACTGAATGAAAAATATTCTAGATGAGTAACTCAAAAACTATCTGTATGAGGAACTGTTCTGAAACTGAAGGTAAGAGAAAGGGAGTAACAAACCAACACTAGCCAAAAAAAACCACAAAATCCCTCATACCTCAAATGTGAATTGTAGGTTGGTTTTACAATACTGTGCAGGTAAAGCAAAAACAAAAATAAGAATTGCATTTTAGGTGTTTTGTAAGTAACATATGATCAGTAAACTGGCCTACATTTTATCAGGTAACATAAGGTTAGTGCAAGATGTCTTTTTAAAAAACACCAAATTATCGGCCGGCACCGCGGCTCACTAGGCTAATCCTCCGCCTTGTGGCGCCGGCACACCGGGTTCTAGTCCCGGTCGGGGCGCCGGATTCTGTCCCGGTTGCCCCTCTTCCAGGCCAGCTCTCTGCTGTGGCCAGGGAGTGCAGTGGAGGATGGCCCAAGTACTTGGGCCCTGCACCCCATGGGAGACCAGGAGAAGTACCTGGCTCCTGCCATTGGATCAGCGCGGTGCGCCGGCCGCGGCGGCCATTGGAGGGCGAACCAACGGCAAAGGAAGACCTTTCTCTCTCACTGTCCACTCTGCCTGTCCAAAAAAAAAAAAAAAAAAAACCACCAAATTATCTAAGACATTTTCATTATTTTCACTAAGAAAAATTAAATGCCATATAATAATTCAAAGTATTACAACAACAGTGTAAAACCTTTTGGAGCAGAGGAAAAGGGTGCGAGTTGAGGAAGAAAAATAACAGGCAAATCCCTACCTGAACCAACTGGAGATGAGCCAACACTAAGACTTTGTAAACTTCCGTTCCTGAGCAACGTAGGAGATTTCTGAAGACTAGAGCTTGTTACACTTCCTGCAGCTGATGCTACAGATGATGTTGGTGAAGCAGAAGAAACTGAGAGATGAGAAACATTCTCTTGATTTTTGTTTCCTTTGGGTCTACCAGGCCCATGCTTACTTTGTTTATTTCCTTTTCTTTTCTTTTCCTTGACAGTTTCTTCTTCTATGCCAGAAGTTTGAGCCCGTTTATATCCTGCTGCAGGAAGGCTGGAACTACCCAAGTCTCCGGGTGAATTTTCAAAGCTTTTAGGCTGTGAAATAACAGCTGAGGTCGAAGGGAGACCAATTAAGGAGTTATAACTATTTACCCCCCCTTCCTGGCTTCCAGACTCTCCTTTATGTACATCTTTGGTTGACGATGACTGTTGGGAGTGAGTATAACTGTCATTACGCAGATCTGAGTCTGTAAAGCTCAAGAAATCCTGGGGAGACTGCACTGAACTTCCAGAAGATGATTTTACACTGCCTGGAGTTCCTGAAAAACTGCCTGTAGTTTAAAAAAAAGGGGGAAGGGGAATGAAAAGAAAAAATTGGATGCAAAAGTTCCCATGAGTAATAAATCAAAAAGGGGGTACAAAAAATTTAACTATAAAACATAGGACATCACTATATAACAAATCTAGATTTAAAAAACATTATTACTAAAATCAAGTCTATCTCTAAAATTATCTTTAAAAACACTTTTCATTTTAAAGGCAATATTAAATATTTACTCTTGAATTTCAAGCTATTATTTACACAATTACTAAGATATAAGCCATATTTTATTTAACCTACCTTTTACTATAGTACTATTGCTCAGTTCTCCCCTAAACAAAGTATTCTATTGACAGTCACACAAGGAGATCTGACAAGACTAAAATTTGAGTCCGAATGTCTATGAAAACTTCTTTTTCAAATATTGAAGATAGGATTAGTAACAGCTATTATTTAACTATCATTTTTTGTAACTATCATTGAATCTACTCCAACAAAACATGGACTTGATAAAATAATCATCACATGTAACCTAATATATACTTTATATTCTCCCAATCCATGTTCCATGGAGCTGCATGAAGAAAAGAAACTAGCCACTAATATTCTGTTACCATTTTAGTAAAGTAAAATCAAAGGGAAGGCAGACTAAATTAATTTCGTTCACAATTACTTAATCTCTCCCAATTATTTAGTCAAAGAATAATCGTAACCCAACATATCATTATGAAACATTAAGAATTTCAAAGTTCTTATTTGTCTGGTAGAAGATTGATATGGCCTGGGAAGAAGTAAAAGTTTTGTCCACTACTTCATTTCACCAAAATCTCTTCATGCTCGACAAATAAAGTAGTACTGGTCTGGACTCAGCTGTGACCACACATCTATAATGCATCAAAAAACTAAACTATATCATATTTTAATGAACGTGTTTGAAAACAAAAGCGACAAAGTATATTATTGGAGTGGAAAGGAAATTTCATGCTAAGCATTAAATTTTACTGCAGAGCATACACAAGTAATCACATATAAATCCACCTTAAGAATTTTTTCCCTTATACAGATGATTCCTGCTAAAATCTAAAGGTTTTCAATTTAAATTTTAACCTCTTCTGAAACGGCCCATTAAAAAAAATTATAAAAAACATTATAAAAAAAAAATTAACCCAAGAGTACATTTTATTAATTTATAAACTATTTGTACTCATGTGAAGATTTTTAGAATTTGTTTACAAAGAAAAACACATATTCAGAACCAATTAAAGATAACTGCAATTTGCCATGCAATTAGCAGCTATAAAAATTATTTATTACCCATTCTAATTTGTCATCTGTTTTTCATCTATACTTTTTGCTTTTTATAGCTAGTGTTATAAGCCCACTGCACAGCGGAAAACACTTGAAAATATTTTATAAAATTTGATGTACATTTTATGAAATTCACTGACTACTACACTATTAAGATATTGAGTATATGTAAATTTTCAATGCATATTTCCTAAAGCTCACATAATACCCCAGGAAAAAATAAAACAAAAATGTCAACTTCTAAAAATTTTTACGGAATAGAATTTCAGAAAATCAAAACACTTTTTTTTACCATGTCATACAGAGGCTAAAAAGGGTTCTTAAATGTTCTGAAGTTCAAGAAAATGGTAGATTTATTTTCTGACTGGATTAGTACTTTATAGACAGATTAAAAACTCAAAGAGGCAATTTTATAAACATTAACTGAATTCTGCTAATATATTCAAAGATTTACTTAATTTACTATTTACAAATATAAAAATAAAAACTGCAAACAAGTAAAATAATAAATTTAGCATTTTTAATATTTGTTTAATCTTTATAAATAAGCACACTCACTCATCTACTTTCCTCCAACAATTTTAGTCATTTCTATTTCTCAATATATATATGTTCATATTAAAAACTGCACCAAGTAAAAACCTATAACAACAGATAATGTATTCCAAAATATATCTGAATTGCTCTATTCTCTATGAAACGGGGTTGCCATATAAAAAAACAAAGGAATTTTCAGTCATAGAAACTACCTATTATACAAAACCTATCCATGGATTTCAAAATATTTTGCGCCTAAATAACCTTAATTCCGTTGTTCCAGAACTTTCTAAAGTACCCTCATATACCATGCCCAGTTAATTCTGAATTTGAAATACCCAAATTATTTGAGTGTAAGTATATCCCATAAAATATTATTACTCACTAAAATATTATTGTTTATATGAAATTCAAATTTGACTGGGTAGTCTATAAATATAGCAGGCAGACCATCAATGAAAATGTAGGCTGAGCAAAATTTTACTTTAAATTTTAAGCTTTATAGGCCGGCACCGTGGCTCACTTGGCTAATCCTCCACCTGCGGCGTCGGCACCCCAGGTTATAGTCCCGGTTTGGGGGCTGGATTCTGTCCCGGTTGCTCCTCTTCCAGTCTAGCTCTCTGCTGTGGCCCAGGAAGGCAGTGGAGGATGGCCCAAGTGTTTGGGCCCTGCACCGGCATGGGAGACCAGGAGGAAGCACCTGGCTCCTGGCTTCGGATTGGCGCAGCGTGCCAGCCGTGGCAGCCATTTTGGGGGGTGAACCAAATGGAAGACCTTTCTCTCTGTCTCTGTCTGTCTGTCTCTCTCTTTCACTGTCTAGCTCTGCCTGTCAAAAGAAATTTAAGCTTTACCATAAATGTTTTATCTATCCCAATTATTATTTATTTGTTTAGATCTAAACATCCCTCAGTATTGGTTTACCTACTAAGAAAACATAAATCATGTTTGACTATTTAATTAGAAAAATCAACAATTTATAGAAAAGAATAACCATTCTATTCAGCAGAAAGAAAAAAATCCCACCTTTTATTATTTTCCCCCAAATTTAAGCTTTATTCCTATATTATTTTAGAAGCACAAATCACGATAGAGGTTCCCAATACATTTTAATGGGAAAAACTAATCTCTAAAGTAATCTTATTACAACCACTAACCATATAAATGAACTAGTACTATCCATTAGTTAAAAATAAAAAGTAAATTATTTAGGAAGCACAAGTACTTTAAATAAAACATAATTAATACCTTGTGGAAAGGGGCTAGCTGCTGACACAGTTGTCCCAGGATTTCGTCCACCACCAGGCTTTCTTCCCCTTTGACCTGAGCTGTGAGCTGAAGATTTCTTTCCTTTGCTCTCTGACCCTCTTGTCTCTGTAACATCTTTTCCACTAGAAGTGTGTGCAGATACTTCCTGAAAATTTGCATTTGTAAAACGAGCTGTGGTATCTTCCAACCGCTTCAAGGATCCAGATATAGAGTTGTTGCTAGTACTTGTATAAGTCTAATATTTTGATTCAAAAGAAAAGGTAAAGTAACTGGTTATATTTTGGCTACAGAAAATAATTAATTAGTAATAATACCTTGTAAGGTAAACATGAGAGATTCCTTCCTAAGAATGCCAATCCACCTTTTGAAAAAAAATCACAAAAAAGCAATAATTTTAAAGCCTATTAGTAAAACTACATTTCTTTTTTTAAAGAGTATGAACAATTTGCAGTTTCAAGACCACCAAATTTGAAAATCAGTAAAAGTACATACACAAAAGGAACTAATTTGTCTGGCAACAAAGAACATGCTAGTCCCTAGATATGAAATTATATAAATAAGCTTTAGTGTGCAATACAGGAAGGTGATGATTAGAACTAACATGTCATAGGTGGACATATGAGACAACAGTTACGACATTCCTTAGGATGCTCACATCCCATACCAGAAAGTCTGGTTTTGACGCAACAAGTGATACAAGTACTTGGGTCCTGTCACCCACAAGGGAGACCCAAATGTTGTTACAGACCTGGCTTTGCCCTAGCCCAGTCCTAGCTGATGTGTGCATTTGGGGAAGTGAACCAGTAAATGGAGGATATCTGATCTCTGGCTTTGGATCCCTCTCTTTCAAATAAAATCAAAGTAATTCATTTTTTAAAAAGTGAACCTTTCAGGGCCAGTCCTGGGGTAAAGTGGGTAAAGTAGCCACCTGCAGTGCCGGCATCCCATATGGATACCAGTTTGGGTCCTGGCTACTCCACTTCTGATCCAGTTCTCTGCTATGGCCTGGGAAAGCAAGAGAAGATGGCCCAAATCCTTGGGCCCTGCACCTGCGTGGGAGACCCAGAAGAAGCTCCTGGCTCCTGGTTTCAGATTGGCATAGCTCTGGCCACTGTGGCCATCTGGGGAGTAAACCAGTGGATGGAAGACCTTTCTCTCCCTCTCTCTCTGGCTCTGCCACTCTGTAACTCTGTTTTTCACAGAAATAACTATATCTTAAAAAAAAAGTGAATCTTTCCATATCTTTGGAGAAAAAAGCAACTAAGATATCACAAATCCACTGGAGTACTATATATCCATGAGAATATCCATGAGAATATAATGTTCTAACATAGAATAATGCAAGTTTTAAAAATCTGGATGATGATGCCTTTTCAATCAACAAAAAGATTAAAGCCTTTGAACAAAAGTAATTTCTTTCAGGTGTTAAGTTGAGGTAACAGGTATATACAACAGAGTTAAGATGTTTATTACTATTCCTAATATTGATTGTCAATCACTCTCTTGATCTAGAAATGATAAAGAAGCAAAATAAAAATTGGCTTCACAAATAGTTTCCAATTTATAGTAATCATTTTACAAACAATGTATCTCAAAATATTGACAAATTAAAAGACAGTGGAAACGTTTTACATCAGATGTACAATCAATATGTTTTAAAATGATCCACAAGGGCAAGGGCTTTTTATGCTGCTCTTAAATTTACTAAATTTACTAGAGTTGATGCTGTGGCATCTACAGTGCCGGCATCCTATATGGATGCCAGTTCAAATCCTGGCTGCTCCACTTCTGATTCCAGCTCTCTGCTGTGGCCTGGGAAAGCAGTGGAAGATGATCCAAGTCCTTGCACCCCACCACCAGCTCCTGATTGTGGCTCCAGATCGGCATAGCTCTGGCCATTGTGGCCAATTAGGGAGTGAACCAGTGGATGGAAGACCTCTCTCTCTCCTTCTATGTAATTCTGACTTTCAAATAAATAGATAAATCTTTAAAAAAATTTACTTAAGCAATCTGAGGTGAGGCTATGGCATTGTGGCCCAGGGGATTAAGTCAGCCCCCTGCCACTTAGCCATCTAGTAAGAGTACGTGCGTAAGTACAAGATTCTCCACATAAAAACGATCTAGCTCCATGCTAATGGGTAGGAAAAAACAGCAGAAGAGGGATCAAGTACTTGGGCTCCATGGAACATAACGACAATAATTTTTTTAAAAATAAATAAATGAATATATTTCTAATGATGTAAAATGGAAAAAATCTGAAAATACAAAAAACCGAAATGTCCTACATAAAGCCACTACTCAACAAGAACAACTATTTAATTTTGAGAAAATAATAAAATCAAATTTCAAAAATGTAGGCATTTTAAACAAAATAAATGTTCCAAAGGGGCATTAAGAGAAGATATTAACTATATCAATAATCAAATATATCTTATCGCTACTTTTCTGCTACTTGCCAGCCACCATCATCTCACTGTCAACAGACTCTCATCATCAAATAAAAGAAACACTATTTCATTTTTTTAAAAAGTCACTAGTTTAACAAACTACAGTCAACAAAAAAGAAAAAGAAAACTTTAAAAATAAATTAGTAGTGAGAAAAAGTTCAATTTAACAAACCAGTAACATTTAAACTGATGAAACATGAACCATTTCCATGCTGAGCAGGTCATCTTAGAAACCACAACACCAAATTTGTCAAACACTGTGCTATGCCACAGTGCCAGCCCCTGCTTTTACCTTAAAGTATAAACTTGTCCATAAGATCAATAAAAATATGATGTGAAAGGAAAGAAACCAGGGGTTAGTGCTGTAGCAAAGCAGGTTAAGCTGCTGCCTGCAGCACTGGCCCCACCTGGACACTGGCTCAAGTCCCAGCTGTTCCACTTCTGATCCAGCTCCCTGCTAATGGCCTGGGAAAGCAGTGGAAGATGAAACAAGTGCTTGGGCTCCTGTATCCACATGGGAGATCCAGAAGAAGCTCCATGCCCCTGGCTTCAATCTGGCCCAGCCCAGGCTGATCCAGCATTTGAGGGATCAACCAGCAGATGGAAGAACTCTCTTTCTCTAACTCTCAAATAAAATAAATCTTTTTAAAAAGAAAGAAAGCCAAATATGTGAGAAAAATCACATTAAAGAAAACCATACCCGAACATTTCATTTTAAAAAACTTCCAGCACCATGCAAGTTTCAAAAGATAGCAGAGTTGGGGCCAGCGCTATGACGTAGTGGGTAAAGCCGCCACCTGCAGTGCCAGCATACAATATGGGCGCCGGTTCCAGATCTGGCTGCTCCACTTCCGTTCCAGCTCTCTGCTGTGGCCTGGGAAAGCAGCACAAGCTGGCACAAGTCCACGGGCCCCTGAACCCACATGGAAAGACCCGGAGGAAGCTCCTGGCTACTGACTTCATATCGGCAGAGCTCCAGCCGATGAGGCAAACTGGGGAGTGAACCAGCAGATGAAAGACCCCCACCCCCCCTCCCGCTCCCTCTCCTTCTCTCTGCGTGTGTAACTCTGATTTTCAAATAAATAAATAATTTTTTTTTAAAAAAAGATAGCAGAGTCTTTTTAATGCAAAAAATAAAAAAGGGACTGGTTTCCAGTCTAGAGATGCTCCTGATGGCTCCAGGTCCCTACTCCTGCTTCCTGCCAAGGAAAATCCTGGGAGCCTAGTTAACTCACCAAATTGCTGCAATGGCTGGAGCTAGGCCAGGCCAAAACCGGGAGTCAGGAGCCTCTTCCAAGTCTCCATACATGGGTGCAGGGGCCCAAGAACTAGAGCTATCTTCCGTTGCATTCCCTGGTACATTATTAGGGAGACAGACTGGAAGCCAGGACTCAACCTGGCGCCTATGTGGGATGCAGGCACCACAGGCAGCAGCTTAACCCAGTACAGCATAGTGCCAGACCCATAATAACCATATTTCATTGTGTCATAAAAGCCACACATTTTTCATTAGAGCAGTGCTGCAAATACAGCACAGAACTAACACGAACCACACAAGACTAAAGATCTTCTATACTTAAAAAAAGGACAGGGGTCACAGAGGCATTTGGCACAAAAACTAACAACTGGTTGGGAGACCCGCGCAGTGGCATGGAAGCTAATCCTCTGGATACGCCACTGGAATCCCATATGGGCACCAGATCGAATCCCCGCTGCTCCTCTTCCAAACCAGCTCCTGGCTTTTGGCGTGGAAAAGCAGTGGAAGATGACCTAATTAACTAGGCCCCTGCCACCCACATGGGAGATCCAGAAGCTCCTGAATCCTAGCTTCAGATCAGCTCAATTCCAGTCATTACAGCCATTAGAGGAGAGAACCAGCAGATGGAAGACCTTTCTGTCTCTCCTTCTCTCTCTGTAACTCTACCTCTCAAATAAATAAATAAATCTTCAATTAAAAAAAAAAAAAAACTAGTTCAAGTTCTGGCTCTGCTTCCAAATCCAACTTCCTATTAATGTGCCTCCTGGGAAGTAGCAGTTCATAGTTTAAGTACTTAGGTACCTGCTACCCACATGAGAGACTCAGATTGAATCCAATGTCCCCAGCTTTGGCCTGGCTTAGCCATAGCTATTATAAGCATGAGGAGTAAACTAGTTGATGAGAGATGTGTCTCTGTGTCTCTCTGCCTTACGAATAAATAAAAAAGTATCAGTAAGCTATATGGAAACTTTAAGCAACGTAAGTCACAAGTTACTAGAGTACCCAAAAAAGAATGGGAGAAAACTAATAAAAAAATTATAAAATTAATGAAAACAGTAAGCCCACATATGTAAGAAGTTCAAGTAACCCCAAGCGTAAGAATGTGAAGAAAACTACATGAATTCAATTAATCACCAAACTGGTTATTTATTAGTATCAATGATTAAAAGAAAATATTGAAAGAAGTGTTGTTTTTTTTTTTTCCCTTAAAGAGGATATCTCACGGGAGCCAGCACTGTGGCATAGCAGATAAAACTGCCGCCTGCAACACCAGCATATAGGTGCCAGGTCAAGTCCCAACTGCTCCACTTCCAATTCAGCTCCCTGCTAATAGCCTGGGAAAGCAGCAGAGCATGACCCAAGCGCTTGGACTCCTGCAACCACGTTGGGAGACCTGGAAGAAGCTCCTGGCTCCTGGCCTAGTCCAACCATTGTGGCCATCTAGAGAGTGAACCAGCAGATAGAAGAAATAATCTCTCAATCTCTCTCTCTCATTCTCTAACTCTTTCAAATAAATAAATAATAAAAAAT